CCCCCCCCCCCCGGGGTATCTATAGGTTCTTGTAAAAAATGTCAGCCCATTCGGTCCAGCCGTTTGACCAGCTATAGCTAGCATGCAAATATACATGCATTTACAAATAATATATACATATAACAAACATATATATTTATATATGTTTATGAGCGACGAGCTTTATTATAAGAAGATATATATAAAGAGTTAATGTCCGTTTGTCCATTTGTTTATTTGTATATGCCCGATCATATCTCATAAACCCCTACAGACCAACATGATAGTTCACAATTTTATGATTAATTTGATACCAAGTAGACTTTTTTAGTTTTACGGGTTGTACTTGCTTTGTTAAATCGATCTTTAAAATTCTTCCAGACTGTCCATTTTGGAGCCTGGAGGGTACATTTCAAGGATCGTAAAAATGGATTTCTCTTTTTTTTAAATTGAGGGCTATAAGTCGCAGAATGAAAAGAAAAATTTAAACATTTTATGCTGTAGAAAACAAAAACATTTACTAAATTTCATAAACCTTCCCTGGGGCCCCTAGATGTCCCACAAAAAATTTGGGCCCGATCGGTTCAGCCGTTTTGACGTTTATTGGATACAAACAGACAGACAGACATCAAAACAAACAAACAGACACCCAAGCCAAATTTATATATAGATTAGATATTAAAGTCGACCCTTCTCAGTTTGATTTGTAAAAAAAATATTTTTCTCAAATATATTTTACTTTGAGATATAATATGACTGCCATGTGATTTTTTTATTTTTCTCTTTGGTATCAAATAACTTAAGAAAATATGGAAAAAGACATTTTATACTATTCACCAACTCCACCAACTGTCATGTTTCGTGTACCTTTTAACCTAGTATAAAATGGTAGAAAAAAGAATTTAGGGAAACCTAATGATACTTAGACATTTATGGAAAGTCCTTAACCTCAGTATTTCAAAAACTTTATGTGCAAATAAATGCGCATTCACTTTATAAAAAAAACTTTGCGCAAAAACTTGTGCGATTTGCTTTCTCTTCTCTAAGGTTTTCCCTAACGCCCAAAAATATTAAAATCCAGTTAATTAAAACAAATATTTAGTTTTGTATTATGGCATGTTAAATGCAGAAGAAAATTAAGATGGCTAAATAAAATTTACTGAATCAATGTGTGTGAATGTTTTATGAAGATAGAATTTTTGAGTTTTAGAAAGTTTTTTTTTTCTTCATTTTTGAGGGAATTCATCACACCAAATATTTCCCGTTGTAGAGCGATAAATTTACTTTATCGCCCTACAGCAGGGCAACGTAGTAACTTTATCGACCTGCATATTAAATCAGTTGAGTAAAATTGAAGGAAGAAAAACTGTATCTGTTTTTTAAATGTTATTATGCGCCCGGAAAACGGTTTGCGGGGATTTTAATTTGCCTACATAGTTTGATTGAGATCGAAAACTTGTTCATACTTATTAATATCCAATAAAATGACATAAATAGGGTTGATGATTCTTTTTAATACTTTTTAATTCGCCAACACATGTGTGGTCATTATTGTGAAGAATCTTCGTTAACGTTCGTTAACAATCGTTAAAGAAGTTTCGGCGTTAACAGTCGTTAACATTCGTCAAAAATTAAAAACGACTTACCTTCGTTAATAAAACTAAACAACGATCCATTTAAAAAACGATCGGTTTTAAAAACAAAACGAGACGATCGTTTTCACAAAAGTGAAAACGATCTATCCCTAAACATAAACAGATATTTTTCTGCAATTAAATACGTAATTGGCTTGCCTTCTCAAGTGGGTTAAAGTTTAGGTCCGGAAACCAAGGACAGTGTTCCTCCTGAAGTTTTCCTAAAAACAGGGTGTTTCAAAAATCATACAAATAAAAACAAAATAAACAATTAACTGTTTTTAGATACAAAAGCAAAAATAAATATATCTCTTCTATTGACACACGTAGGAGACTTTAAATTAACGAAACATTGCCCTGTAAATGTCATAAGTCATTGTATGTAAGTAATCGAAGTTAAACATGATTGTTTTAACTGATAAAAAAATGTATTTTTTTTGAAAACTTAAAGGAAAAGCATAAAATTTCATAAAAACAATTATTTCAATTCAAAAAATTATTTTTCCGTGAATAAATTATGTTATCAATATAGAATTCATACTTCAGCCTGTTTGGTTTAGTAATATTTCCTGTTACTTTCTAGAACAATTATTCTGTGGTCAGAATTATTTGCTAAAGGAAAAAACACGAAATCTAGATTGGAAAAACAATTGTAACTAAACTGAGTTCTTGCCACAAACTCAAAATTTCTAAGCCCTATAACTTTGAAACCTGATGGTGTAAAGAGAGTCCACAACATCTGGTTGCAAAAATATATGAATTCGAAAAACTAAATTTTGGTAAAATTCGATAACAAAATATCTGGTTTAAAAAAAATTATTATACGTTTGAATTTTACAGAGAATGCGTAAGTGACCTTTCATTTAAAGCGGTAACCTTCACACCTTAGATTGTCCAACAGTTTTTTTTCAAAATAGAATTTGAGTATTTACATTATACGACTTCTAGAAAGTAAATATTATTATTCCTTAATTATAAAACAGGTTGCAAATAAAGTGTTCAACAATTACAAGCATTTCTCTAGATAAATAAGTAAAAATCTGTCATCCTTGATCAGTCAAAGGTTTGAAGGGTACCGTTGTGAATCCTTGATCAGTCAAAGGTTTGAAGGGTACTGTTGTGAATCTGGAATGATCCTCTTTAAATGGAAGATCACTTGAAAAAACTATGACAGTCCTTCAAGGCCTCTTAATATCTTTAAAGGGGCAGACTGGCTAGGCATGGTTGTTGAGCTGAAAGTGGTGCATTATTCTAAAGACATTTTTTCAGGATTCATTTGTCAACTAAAAGACTTTTTACTGTGTATAATTGTTCAGTAAGAGTACAAATTCAATCTTTTAAATCCCCCTGGATTTTCCAATTCTGGAGGGATGATTTCGAAAATTTATTGAAAATTACGATAAAAAATGTTACAAAAATTCTTTCCTTTAAAAAAAAGCTGATTGATTACCTGCAGGGGTAGAGTTAAAACAGGACCAGAGATAGCTTACCTGGAGGGTTAGAGTTGAAACAGGACCAGGGATAGCTTACCTGGAGGGGTACAGTTGAAACAGGACCAGGGATAGCTTACCTGGAGGGGTAGAGTTGAAACAGAACCAGGGATGTTTACCTGGAAGGGTAGAGTTGAAACAGGACGAGGGATAGTTTACCTGGAAGGGTAGAGTTGAAACAGGACGAGGGATAGTTTACCTGGAGGGGTAGATTTGAAACAGGACGAGGGATAAGTTACCTGGAGGGGTAGAGTTGAAACAGGACCAGTGATAAGTTACCTGGAGGGTTAGAGTTGAAACAGGACCAGGGATAGCTTACCTGGAGGGGTAGAGTTGAAACAGGACCAGGGATGTTTACCTGGAAGGGTAGAGTTGAAACAGGACCAGGGATAGCTTACCTGGAGGGTTAGAGTTGAAACAGGACCAGGGATAGCTTACCTGGAGGGTACGAGGGATAAGTTACCTGGAGGGGTAGAGTTGAAACAGGACCAGGGATAAGTTACCTGGAGGGTTAGAGTTGAAACCAGAACCAGGGATGTTTACCTGGAAGGGTAGAGTTGAAACAGGACGAGGGATAGTTTACCTGGAGGGGTAGATTTGAAACAGAACGAGGGATAAGTTACCTGGAGGGTTAGAGTTGAAACAGGACCAGGGATAGCTTACCTGGAGGGGTACAGTTGAAACAGGACCAGGGATAGCTTACCTGGAGGGTTAGAGTTGAAACAGGACCAGGGATAGTTTACCTGGAGGGTTAGAGTTGAAACAGGACCAGGGATAGCTTACCTGGAGGGGTACAGTTGAAACAGGACCAGGGATAGCTTACCTGGAGGGTTACAGTTGAAACAGGACCAGGGATAGTTTACCTGGAGGGGTAGAGTTGAAACAGGACCAAGGATTGTTTACCTGGAGGAGTAGAGTTGAAGCAGGACCAGGAATCAAATATTAAAGGACAATATTCTACTGGTGCGACAGCATTTCTTTTCAACATTTCAAATTCACCATTTTGATTTATGCATAACTGTATAGGATAAATTTGCCATCTGGAAACCATTTTTGCAAACTTTTTGCGTAAAAGTCGTGCAATTTGGGTAAGTTCCATTTTGCATATCCTTGTGCAAGCGCAAAACTTGGGATACGATTTATTTTGTCGAGTTACGCAAAACCCCATTTGCGTATCTTTTACACCATTTGTTAAGAAAAAATAGAACAAAATATGATATTAGAATTGTTGTTGTGAAAGTAATCTCGTGTTCTACAAAGTTTACCATTCCCCAGCTAATTTTAATAAAAGTAATATAACTTGGTGAAACTCAACATTTTGGAGTTTTTTTTTCTATTGACATGAATATTGTATAATTGCTAATTATTAGTTAGTTTTCAGTCAATTTTATAAGAAAATGTTAATCTTTAAAACATTAATTAAGAACATGGTTACTAAATAAGTTTTCTTTTATTGACATGAATATTGTAAAATGGCTAATTACCAGTTAGTTTGAAGTCAATTTTTTAAGAAAATGTTGATCTTAAAAACATTAAAATAGAACAGGGTTACTAAATAAGTTTTCTTTTATTGACATGAATATTGTATAATGGCTAGTTACAATTTAGTTTTCAGTCAATTTTTTAAGAAAATGTTAATCTTTAAAACATTAAAAAAGAACAGGGTTACTAAAAAAAAATTATACTTTAAAGACGAATTTTATGACATTTATTTGATCTTATTTCAAGCATCAACGCTTAGACACTTTCTACTCGACGGTTCGGCCACATGTGTACTTTGGATACCTCATTGGTACAAGGAACTTAAAAATAGAAAATAAAACCCTTTAAACTTATCTATATATAAATTTGGCTTGTCTGTTTGTCTGCCTGTCTGTTTGTTTGTTTGTTTGTTTGTATCCAATAAACGTCAAAACGGCTGAACCGATCGGGCCCAAATTTTTTGTGGGACATCTAGGGACCACAGGGAAGGTTTATGAATGATCAAAATTTCAAATATTTGTCTCCATCAAAATTCGATCGTCATTAAATTTTTTAAAATTTTGAAAATCCGCGAAATTTTTTGTGAAAATCCGTGAATTATTTTTGTTTTGTTTTACGATGTACACAAAGAGAACATGTTCACAATTAATTTAGGAGATGGGCGCGTAGCGCCCTCTAAGGCTAGAAAGAAGGGCGCGAAGCGCCTTGAATTTCTAGTATTTTAAATTTTGCATTGAAGATAAATGTAGAGTTTAGTAACTGAAGCACTCTGGCCGTTTTCCTGAAATACTTAATAAATAATACTTTTAATGGGAGTGTTCTCGAAAATTGAAATTCCTTTATAGTTGATATTTCATAATATTTCATTTCTTATGATCTGAAAGTTACTTCTGAAAACTTTTATTCCTGTTTCGAGGATTTTTGATAATGAAAACAACATTTTCTTATTTTCATGAATGTTCGAAAATTCAGCGCCAGCGAAATATCATTTTAAAAAAATCAAAAATATTATGAAATATCAACTATAGTTACGAATGCGTCGAAAAATAATCGATGACTATTGTTTGTAATATTTGAATGATTTAAATGATTTAATAAATTAATTAAATTGATTATTTTACTATCCGAGTTTAATGTTGCAACTTTCCGAATTTGTATGAACGTTACGTTCTTCGGTATGAGTCGTTTTTAACAATTTTCTCCTTATAGACAGATAGAAGTGAGATTAGTAGCGATCAAAACCACTTATTTTTCGCCTTAAGCCTATACTCCCTTTCATTTTTCGCGAACACTCCCTTTAAAAGCGCTTATTTTTCGCCTTAAGTCTATACCCCTTTTCATTTTTCGCGAACACTCCCTTTAATACGGCCACCCCCCCCCTTTTAGCTCCTTCCTTTTACAACCCAACATAAATATGCAATTTGAATATTTTCCTGTGAACGCATTCAGCCAGTCTGCTTAGTAAATATTCATCATCTAAATAAAAATTGGGTCAATAGAAAAAAATTCTAAAATACCATTTTTCCGAGTTATTGAAAAATTCACAAAGATGTTAAACATTTGAATGAGAACTTTGATCGCAATTTGACTTTCAGAACGTTCAAATGATAGGCATAGCTATAATCGTAATTAAGGAAATTTTGGTATTACATCTAGCCGATGTTAAATATTGTTAAAAATCTATCTAAGAACTAGTATATCGATGTTAGACATTGTTAAAATTTATCTATGGTCTAGTGTATCGATGGTAAGAATTGTTTAAATCTATCTATGGTCTAGTATATCGATGGTAAATATTATTTAAATCTATCTATGGTCTAGTTTATTGATGGTAAGTATTGTTAAAATCTATCTATGGTCTAGTATATCGATGGTAAATATTATTAAAATCTATCTATGGTCTAGTTTATTGATGGTAAGTATTGTTTAAATCTATCTATGGTCTAGTAAATCGATGGTGAATATTATTAAAATCTATTTATGGTCTAGTATATGGATGGTAAATATTGCTTAAATCTATCGAATGTAAGTATTCCTTACCTATCTATGGTCTAGCATATCGATGGTAAATATTGCTTAATCTATCTATGGTCTAGTATATGGATGGTAAATATTGCTTAATCTATCTATGGTCTAGTATATAGATGGTAAATATTGCTTAAATCTATCGAAGGTAAGTATTCCTTGTCTGTCTATGGTTTAGCATATCGATGGTAAATATTGCTTAATCTATCTATGGTCTAGTATATGGATGGTAAATATTGCTTAATCTATCTATGGTCTAGTATATGGATGGTGAATATTGCTTAAATCTATCGAAGGTAAGTATTCCTTGCCTGTCTATGGTCTAGTACATCATGGTAAATATTGCTTAATCTATCTATGGTCTAGTATATAGATGGTAAAGTTTTATCTATGGTCTAGTATATGGATGGTAACTATTGCTTAAATCTATTGAAGGTAAGTTTTCCTTAAACTTATCTATGGTCTAGTATATAGATGGTAAAGATTTATCTTTGGTCTTATGGTCTAGTATATGGATGGTAACAATTCTTGAATAAATCTATGTTCTAATACATCGATTGTATAAATATCTATGCTCTAGTATTTCGATGGTAAATATTTCTTAGATATATGCTCTAGTATGTTGATGGTAAATATTCCTTAAATCTCTCTAAAGTATTTATGCTCTAGTATGCCAATAGTAAATATTTCTTAAATCTATCTATGGTCCAGTATATAGATGGTAAATATTCCTTAATCTATCTATGGTCTAGTATATTTGATGGTAAATATTCCTTAATCTATCTATGGTCTAGTATATAGATGGTAAATATTCCTTAATCTATCTATGGTCTAGTATATAGATGGTAAATATTCTTTAAATCTATCTATGGTGTCGTATATCGATGATAAATATTATTGAAATATAAATTACCTTGATAAAACACCGAATCCTCGGAATAAATATAGCTGAAGAACTCAGATATAAATTTCTGATAAATCAGTTTAAAAAATCATTCGGAAAGTGAGACAATTTCAAGATATTCATTACACAGTACAGGGTGTCCCAATAAAAATGGAAATGTACATTAAAATCAAAAGTCAAGATCAGTTAAAGAAATTGGGTTAATTTTTTTTCAAAGAATAAAAATTGGACAAAAATTCTAAATATCTTAATCAAATATGAAGGCAAGACTAAGATTTGATATTAGTAATCGTTTTGATTGTCTTTTTCAGATTAACAACTGAATGCTGCGTAGATAGAAGACGATTTATTAGTAGACATTAAATTCCTTGTCGTGTTTGATTCACCTTGTTATGGTATTTCAAAATTGTGGTTAGTCTTTTTGTGCCGCCAATTATTTCAATGATCAAAGACGATCTTATTGTATTTTCTAAACTGTTTTGTTCGTGGGATACTCCTGTGTATATAATTATTTAAATAAATCAAACAATCCAACAGAATTTACTTATTTTGAGGAATTATTTTGAAATTTTAATTGTCTAATCTGCAATATGAGCAGTCAGCAATCTCAGGGGATAAAGTTTTTACTGTAAAATCTAATTTTCACGTAAAAAATCGGTTTAACAAATTAATCCATCTCAGCTGAAAACTTTAGAATGAGATATCCTTAATTTCGATTACTTGGATATATTACAGAAAAATAAAAAACGCGGGTTTTTTAATTTAGAGAGTCCCTCCAGTTTCTGTATAAAATCTTAAATTCTTAAATAGATTAGGTTAGTTTAGATAGTAAGAAAAAGAGAGGATCAAGCATTAATCTCGATATTCACCATTTTAAAGTTTTCAGCTCCGGGTAAACACTTTCTAAATTTACCATGGATCGAGGTAAAAACTTGTGTATTTTGAATTGGTTCAAAAGGCGCCCAGCCGTTTAACACTATCGTAACCAAAAGTTATAGCTTCAAAGTTTAATTGAAAACATTAACAAAACGTTATTAAATTTGTTTTATCCCTGATATTCAGAAATGTTTTCAGCAGCTATTGTCACATCTGGGGCCTCAACACTACTCCTGAATCACGTTTAACTTAAGTAAATTTCACGTATGGATAAAACAGCTGTTTTTAATCACAGTGTTTCAATCAATTAGATATTTACAACATCAGAGTTAACTTTTAGGGTTTTAATTAAAATGTGTATGGAAATTATTCCTGCTACCCCGGCATGGCCGGAGGGCGTAGAGACGCTAAATTGCAATCTTTCATCTATTAAAGGGCAAGTTTTCTCTTTTCTTTTCCCACAAATGGTTTTATAATCACAACAGAAAAATAAATATCGTTTTCAATTTTCTTTTATAAAGGAAATTTTCTACAGGGTGTCCCAATAAACATTGGAATTCAGTGACGAATTCGGTATCGTCTTTTTGAATAATTCTTTGATTTACTGAGCTTAAGCTGTACTCCGTAAGATTTTCGTCTGCTATGTTTACATTTTGTTTGTTTATGTTTTCTCTGCATACGGTTGTACTCTTTAAAACAAGAAAATTACAGTATACAATAGAGTAAACTTGTCCGTCTTCACTGTTCATCTTGTGGAGACATTATAGACACATCTTTACAGCCATTACCGTTTTCATAAAATAAACTCTAGCAGACATAATAATACTATGGCTTTTGAAATTAGGTATTACAATGCTAATTCAGAACAAAGACGATTTTGAATTCGTAACTGAATTCCCATGTTTATTGGGACACCCTGAAATTAACTTTCATTTGAATCAAAAGGAATTTAGTCTTTGCCACAAATTTGAATTTTCCAATCCATATATTTTTCCAATCAAATGTAGTAGACCTATATTTCAAACTAGGATATCTACTAGATCATATAATCTAAGTTTACAATATGAAAGGTTTACGTCATAAGGTTGCAAAGATTAAAGGATTAGTTTTTGGCAAAGGCTTTATTCCTTTTTTTGTAAAGCCAATTTGAGTCTATTAAAAAGATCAAGGTATATGTTTATTGTGTGTTTCTCAAAATTATGTGTAAATTCGTAACTGGAGAAGCTACGAGGTCATAAATTCGTACCAATATTATTGTTTCATAAATTTGACCAACTCCTAGTGTGTCTAGAAGATATATATTTCTAAATACCTGATAATTATTCTGTACATGTTGGAAGAAATTCCGCCCGTATCTTTACATCTAAAATAGCTATTATTAAGAAAATCAATAATAATGGAATTAATGATTATATACATTTTACAGCACAAACTTGTCCAAAACTTAAATGAAGACTCGAGTTTTTTACGAATTTGAATTCCAAGTTCATAACTAGTTCAGTAATTCTCGACACATAGTTTTTGTCCAAGTTCAAACTTGGCCAAAACAAAATCGACATATTTCCGACATAAAGGCGACATGCTTCCGACAAAAAAGCGACATGTTTCCGACATAAAGTCGACATATTTCCGACATAAAGGCGACATATTTCCTACATAAAGTCGATTTTTACAGCGGCCGAAAATAATGAAGGAGAGAAAATTTTAACTTTAAAGATTTTAAGTTTAAGCTTTTCTTTGTGTGACGGAACAAAGATCACAGTGTTTGAAAAATCTTCAGTTTCGTCATCAGAGTGTTAAACTCAGATGTACGATGCAGCTTTTACCTCTTAATAGTTGGTTTTGATATTTCCAACATTAAATTTACTTTGTTAGAAGTACTGTTTTTACAAGGGGCAGATATGTAGATTGCAAACACTTTTGGGTTGCACTCTGTAAAGAAACAATTGTGTTGTCTTGAAAATGATATGTAATAAATGACCCAACGGTGTTATATATTTGCATCTAATTATATTATGTCATTACTTATTTAGTTCCTTGAGCTAATTAGTTCAAAGAAGAACTATTCAGAAATCTTCAACAACGAATAATTGTTACAATTATGCTTAGGTTAAGTTTAATTATTTATTTATTTGATTATTAATTTTATTTAAAAGAAAAAACTGCAATGAAGCGATAGTAGCCCATAGATTAAGATAGAAAAGACGACATCTCCAGAACTTAATCCTATTAACTGAAATTTGCAGAAAATTTTTCAGAATTTTCAGTTATTTATGTTTTTTTTAAAACTTTCCAGTTATTTAGTTTAGATCAATATGTGTCGATCAGTTTCAAATATAAACCTAGTAAATTTTTCAAATAATGTTTTATATTTTTCATTTACATTAAAAGTATATTTACATTTTACATTTTCTCCCCCCCCCCTGGTCCCCGTAATTGACATTATTTTCAAAAAAAAGTTTCGAGAATTTTTTTCTATTTTCATTTCAATCTTTATTTTCCAACTAAATCCAGTTAGATTTGATAAATTCTAGGATTAGATTTCAATTCTTTTTTTCATATGTCATGAGATCATTTCCGAGAAAATTAGGCTGCTATAATTTAAAATGTTCCTCATAGAAAAGGGCATCGCTTTTAAAAAGGATTGATAAACGAGAGAGTTTTTTTTGTTTCGTTTTAGATTTTAAGATACTAGCACACCTGAGTTTTGAGATGTATGCATTTGATAACGAAAACGAAAACGAAGCGACAGTGAAAAAGTTTTAAAGTTAAATCAATTTATTTAAAATTTGTTAGAAAATCATATTGTAGAGAGCTTTATATGTTAGTTTTTGTGAATTTGCATAATGGAAGTTACATTTTTTTTCTTTTGAAAATGATCGTTTTAAAACAACGATTGTTTCGTTTTTATTTATTTATGGCAAAGTTGTTTTCAAAATAAAAAACGAAAACTGCATAGTTGAAAATACAACAGGGATTACGAGGATTAAACGGATTGCACGCTTAAATTCATGTGACGTCAGTTTTAAAACATTTAAAGGGACTGTAAAGTGTAAACCTAAGTTCAAGTGACCCTCCATGAAAAGATTACATTACCCGCTTTACAATGGTAACCTATAAAAGCTTTGTCTGATTAAGTATAATTAGATTATCAAATATCGATTTTATAATTTAAAAAAATAACTTTTCCACTTCTACAAAAGTGAACCATACTGTACCATACAAATTATTGATCAGATAAATGTTTTCAGGGTATCGTTGTGAATCGGGTATTGTCATCTTAGCATGGAGGTTTACTTCAAATTACGCTTACAATTCCTGTAATTTTGACCCTATTTTTACGCAGCAGAATTCGATTTTGATAAAATGAGAGAGTTTTTTTTGTTTCGTTTTAGATTTTAAGAAACTAGCACACCTGAGTTTTGAGATATATGCATTTGATAACGAAAACGAAAACGAAGCGACAATAAAAAAGTTTTAAAGTTAAATCAATTTATTTAAAATTTGTTAGAAAATCATATTGTAGAGAGCTTTATATGTTAGTTTTTGTGAATTTGCATAATGGAAGTTACATTTTTTTCTCTTGAAAATGATCGTTTCGTTTTTAATGTTTAAAAACTATAACTAATTCGTTTTAAAACAACGATTGTTTCGTTTTTATTTATTTATGGCAAAGTTGTTTTCAAAATAAAAAAACGAAAGCTGCATAGTTGAAAATAAAACAGGGATTACGATGATTAAAGGAATTGTACGCGCAAATTCAAGAGACGTCAGTTTTAGAACATTTAAAGGGACTGTAAAGTGTAAACCTAAGTTCAAGTGACTCTCCATAAAAAGATTACATTACCCGCTTTACAATGGTAACCTTAAAAGCTTTGTCTGATAAAGTATAATTAGATTATCAAATATTGATTTTATAATTTTAAAAAATAACTTTTCCACTTCTACAAAAGTGAACCATACTGTACCATACAAATTATTGATCAGATAAAGGTTTTCAGGGTATCGTTGTGAATCGGGAATTGTCATCTTAGCATGGAGTTTTACTTCAAATTACGCTTACAATCTCTGTAATTTTGACCCTATTTTTACGCAGCAGAATTCGATTTTTCATTTTTTCTTTTATCTCTTTAATGTTGTGAAGATGTAAAGGACAATAACTTACTTTTTGGGTTTAAAAACAATAACTTAAAACTTTAATCAAAAATATTATGAAATATTAACTATAAACAAATGCGTCGATAAACTAACAATGATTATTATAATATCTGAATTTTTTGTCGGGAATTAAATTGATTTTTACGATGCGAGTCGTATGTTGCAACTTTCTGAATTTGCATGGACGCTACCTTTTACGGTATGAGATGTTGCAACTTTCTGAATTTGCATGGACGCTACCTTTTACGGTATGAGTCGCTTTCAACAAATTTCTCCTTATAGACACAACAGTTAGAAGTAAGATCGATAATTTTTCGCAGTAAGCCTATAAACACTTTTTATTTTTCGCGAACACTCCCTTTAAAATCATAAAACGGGTGCCTTAAAAATAATGCGTTTGTTAAGAATATCTTTGTAAGCGTAAGATATTTTAAATTGTACTCGATTTCTGGATAATAATTTCTAATTCATTTAATTTTTCATGAATTAGCATTTTTCCCACACATTTTTCATGATTGACATTCCCACACATTTTCCATGCCAAATTTAAATCCTAATGTGAAGTTTAAACCCTAATGTAAAGTTTAAACCCTTATGTGAGATAACCCTAATGTAAAGTTTAGTTCGTAATGTGAAGTTTAAACTCTAATGTGAAGTTGAAACCCTAATGAGAAGTATGTATCATAATGTAAAGTTTAAACCCTAATGTAAAGTTTAATCCCTAATGTAAAGTTTAACCCCTAATGTGAAGTTTAATCCCTAATGTGAAGTTTAAACCCTAATGTAAAGTTTAAACCCTAATGTGAAGTTTAATCCCTAATGTGAAGTTTAGTCCCTAATGTGAAGTTTAATCCCTAATAAGAAGTATGAATCCTAATGTAAAGTTTAAACCCTAATGTGAAGTTTAAACCCTAATGTGAAAGTTTAAACCCTTATGTGAAGTTTAATCCCTAATAAGAAGTATGAATCCTAATGTAAAGTTTAAACCCTAATGTGTAGTTTAAACCCTTATGTGAAGTTTAATCCCTAATGTGAAGTTTAAACCCTGATTTTAAGTTTAATCCCTAATGTGAAGTTTAAACCCTAAGAATTTTGGTCACCTGTAAAAAAAATTAATTTTTTTCAGGGACCTTTATGATCCTCCATTCAAAGAGGTACTCTTAAAAAATGTGTCTTATAAACTGTGAATTAAATATTTATGTTTTTGTTTTTGAAAAACTGATTATTTTCAATTGTGAATTTTGAAGCTAGAAAAACAACTTTATTTTTCACATTATTAATGAGATAAAGAGTTTAGGGTACTGTAAATAGGACATACTCCTCTTTAAAAATGGAAGATTGATAAAAATAACAAGGACAGGCCCTTTTACTGAATTTAACCCCCTTGTGTATATGAGACTAAGATTCTCTGTGAAATGATTTTTCAGATTTAAGATAAATTTTATGATTCATCCAAATTCTCTGTGTTTATACTTCAAAGTTACAGTGTTTATATCCATGTTTCTAATCTAAATATCATTTTTTAGGCCTGGCTCCCAACAATTACAAGGTGTAGCTTGGATTGAACGGTTTTGTTCAATGTTTACCTAAAGGNTATTTTCGTTCCTGTTCCTTTCTTTAATCATTATATTTCCTTTCCTGTTCCTTTCTTTTATCATTATATTTTCGTTCCTGTTCCTTAATTTAATCATTATATTTCCTTTCCTGTTCCTTTCTTTAATCATTATATTTCCTTTCCTGTTCCTTTCTTTTATCATTATATTTTCGTTCCTGTTCCTTAATTTAATCATTATATTTCCTTTCCTGTTCCTTTCTTTAATCATTATATTTCCTTTCCTGTTCCTTTCTTTTATCATTATATTTTCGTTCCTGTTCCTTAATTTAATCATTATATTTCCTTTCCTGTTCCTTTCTTTTATCATTATATTTTCGTTCCTGTTCCTTAATTTAATCATTATATTTCCTTTCCTGTTCCTTTCTTTAATCATTATATTTCCTTTCCTGTTCCTTTCTTATAGTTCCTTTACTGTTTCTTTTTTATCATTATATTTTCGTTCCTGTTCCTTTTTTATTATCATATTTTCTTTCCTGTTCCTTTTTTATCATTATATTTCCTTTACTGTTTCTTTTTTATCAATATATTTTCTTTACTCTGATCCTTTATTTTATCTTTATATTTCCTTTCCTGTTTCTTTTTTATAATTATATTTTCTTTCCTGTTCCTTTTTATTATTTTCATTTGTGGTTTCTTTACACAAAAGAATGTTGCGCATATTCTATACAGAAAACAAGGCAATATGAGTGGAAAATATCAAAATTAAACAGCTAACAATTTAATAAAAAAACAACGATGTCTTCCACATCAGTAACAACATACGGGTTTTACTAAATGTCACCGACGTAAATCGGACAGTCACTTGAAGATCAGTTACATTTTTGGATATAATATAATACTTTAAATAAAAAATTTCCTTTTTTTCAATAACGTGTGAGCTTTCACTTTCCAACTTACATTCCTTCCCAATTCGTTTAATCTGTAATATTATTCATTTCACTTTCCAACTTACATTCCTTTTCAATTCTCTTAATCTGTAATATTATACATTTCACTTTCCTAATTACATTCCTTCCCAATTCTCTTAATCTTTAATATTATACATTTCACTTTCCAACGTACATTCCTTCCCAATTCTTTTAATCTGTAATATTATTCATTTCACTTTCCAACTTACATTCCTTTTCAATTCTCTTAATCTGTAATATTATACATTTCACTTTCCAACTTACATTCCTTTTCAATTCTCTTAATCTGTAATATTATACATTTCACTTTCCAACTTACATTCCTTTTCAATTCTCTTAATCTGCAATATTATACATTTCACTTTCCAACTTACATTCATTCCCAATTCTCTTAATCTGTAATATTATTCATTTCACTTTCCAATTTACATTCCTTCCCAATTCTCTTAATCTGTAATATTATTCATTTCACTTTCCAACTTACATTCCTTCCCAATTCTCTTAATCTGTAATATTATACATTTCACTTTCCATCTTACATTCCTTCCCAATTCTCTTAATCTGTGATATTATACATTTCACTTTCCAACTTACCAATTCTCTTAATCTGCAATATTATACATTTCACTTTCACTATCCACCTTGCATTCCTTCCCCAATTCCCCTAATCTTCAGTATTAAACATTTCACTTTCACTTGATTCTAAAAAGGAAAGTTTACAAGTTTTTCATATTTTATCAAATATATCCATTTGAGATTTTATTGTAAAATTTTGTATAAAATTAAATAAAAAATACCTTATAGAAATTTAAAAAAAACTTTTGTCATTTGAATTGCGGTCGCTCAAAATAAACTTTTAAATATGGGGAGATTCCGCGGGGGGGGGGCTAAAGGCATAGGCCCCTTGGTGTAGTGAAAACTGTGATTGTCAAAAAAAGTTAAGCCTAAATTGGAAAATTTTCCCAATTTTACAATAAAATGGTTTAAAATATCGGCCTGATATTATACAGTGAAACCCTTAATAACGAATACATCGAAAGAATTCATCAAATGTCGTATTCTTCACTTTCTCATAATGGAATGTTGCAGATATTTAGTTTTTAAATTAAAGGATTATATGGAACTCTTTAAAACTGTTCCCGCATATTCATGGCTATTTATTTATAAAACTCATTGAAAAATTGTCAAGACGACATTTGATAAATTCTTCCGATGTATTCGTTATTAAGGGTTTCACTGTAGTTTTCCATTAACAATAATGAATAATAATTCGAAATGTTACGATTTGAAATATTTTCTCAAAATGCAGACGAATAAAAGAAATAGCTATTCATTGCGACTTTAAAACATTGTTTAGACACTCTCTCATAACTGATAAATATTCTAAACTAAATTGTAAGATCACGTACCTAGGATCAAATTCAGGAATACAAGATTTCTCTGTGTTTACTTTATGTAGACCTTCTCTCTCCAGGCCCCTCAATCTACTCACCTTCATTTCCGCAGCCTCAGTCCCAGTCCTCGGGTATACCCATCCTCTACAGTCCTCGGATAAACCCATCCTCTACACTCTACAGTCCTCGGTTATATAACCCATCCTTACCATCCTCGGGTATACCCATCCTCTACAGTCCTCGGGTATATATTTACCCATCCTCTATTGTCCTCAAGTATTCCTGCAATCCTTAACAGTCCTTGGTAATACCCAACCTTTACATGTAGTAAATGCCCTACTCCATAAGGGTTTCTCAAACCCATATCAATCCAGGATACAACTCAATCTCAGTTTACTATCAATGTCAAACCAGACACAATCTATCTTTATCATAAACTATCAATGTTTCAACTAAGAAATGATCTAATGGACTATGAACTATCAATGTCTCAACTCGGACGCAATCTCATAAACTATCAATGTCCCAACTCAGACATGATATCATAAACTATCAATGCCTAAACTCGAACACAATCTTATAAACTATCAATGTCTCAACTCAGACATATTCTCATAAACTATCAATGCCTCAACTCGGACACAATCTTATAACTATCAATGTCTCAACTTGGACATGATCTCAGGGGTTTCTCGTTCGCTAAACGAAAAACAATTACTCTTGCTTGGTAATCGTCTAGAGTCTTTTTCAACTGAATATATTTGGGTTTCTATGTTACAGGTTAACGTAAATCAATGTAATAACCAGTTTTAAGTTGAGTATCTTTCTTGCTTGCCTAAATGATTCATGTTTCCTCCAGTGTTTTCCTAAGCACTTTCCCCATTATTTCGTTGATTTTTTTTAATTTCCGTCTCCAAGTTTTTATCCAGGTTTAGCCTTATTTGATCTGATTCATCCATCCTTTTCCTCTTCGATTCTTCTATAGTTCTGTTAGTTTCCTTTGCTTCTGTCCCAGCTGTATTTTCCTTGTCTCTGTAATCCCTGTCTACATCATCATTCGTGTCAACATTGTTCTTAGCTAGAGGTGTTAGGGTAGAAGGGTTGGAACCTGTTTTCACAACTGAAATACTTGCTCTTAATCCCATCTTGTCTGCTGGTTGTCTCTCTGACCTTTCTGGTTGATTCTCTGGAACTGGATTAACTTTCTTACTGTCCTTGCTGTGCTGGAAACAGCTGTGGAACTTACATATGCATATGTTGTTTCATTTGGCCTATTTGTAATTTTATTTCTTCTGTTGCCTGGTACAACAGCTTAACAGGTTGGGTTTCTCAAATCTTCAAATCTTATCGTTTTCCATATCTTCAGTTTGAACTGCCTTGATTTTCCTTTTCTCTCCGTCTTCATTAGTTTGTTGATTTTTCTCTCCTTAGCTACCATACTTGGTTATGCAATTTCTCAACCTTTATCTTGTTTTCTCCCTGTCTCTTGATCTTGATGCTTCTATTGATCTTGATTATTCTCTTGATTCCTGATGTGTATAGCAGATGGATATCCAGAAAACTTCCGCCTTTCCTTAACTATTTTAGCTGGATCCCCTTCTAGATCTGTTGCAATTTTTATCTTCATTTTTACTTCATTGTCTAGCTGGTTTCTTCGTTCATCATCTCTGATCTCTTATTATGTATGACAAATTCTAAAACATCTGTTTCCCCGTAATGTTTCCAATTTGCCACCAGAACCGAAAACTTATCCAAAAACATTTTAACTGCCTCCTCTTACAACTTTTCATCTTGGTTTAAGATCCTGTTTTCATCTATCTTGAACCTTTTCCCACTTAATTTCTTCTGTAGGATATTCTGATTTTTGTACAGGATTCATCATTTCCGCTAATGTTTTATTTTCATTTTCATGTTCCTGCATGCATATAGCTTGTATACTGCCTGGTAAATTATGAGTATTTTCTTGAAGCATTATTTCTTGGCCTGATTTTTGCTCTTCTGGTAGCATGGTTTTTTCAAAACTCTTGCCTTCTGGTTTTCTTTCTAACTCAATTCTTGTTCTTTGGCACTTCTTGTTGTATTACACTTCCCATGCTGAGATTTACTGCATGATTCAACCCGTTTGACGTACTGTGTTTTACTTCCAGTATAACGCTAAAACCTCCTCATTACTCAGTAAGGCTCAAATCCTAGATTTGTCTTCAATACTCATCAGCCTATCTTTATAAACCCAATCTTGTGTACTCTAAACCAAAGATTTGTAGAAGTGATGAGGCTTCATCATCTCCTGTCAAATGAAGATTCTTGAAGCTGTGTAAATACAACTCTATATTTCAACACACACACACACACACACACCCCCTCCTTCCCCCCAATTTTTAGTAAATAAGTGTATCTCATTTATATCTTTGTAACCCGTAAATATACGTTCTTTAGTTCATTGACCCTAGTTGCGGTCAACTAATTTACTTGTACCTTTTTATACCTGAATATAGCGAGTTCAACACAGACTCTTCTTATTTATGGATTGTATATACCTGGAGAGATATAGAGGACAGAGTTTGTGATAGATTAAAGGAACGCGTTTATGTTGATAACGACAAATGAGGAGTTAGGCATTTTATACATGAATAAAGAAACATAACAAAAAAATCAATGAACTTTTCTAATATCAAGAAAATGTTTAATCATAAAAACAAATTATTTTAACTCTTTTCTCGCAAAGCTGCAGAAAGATAACAGTTTTATCAAATAAAAAAATTGGCAAAAAACACTGAAAATGTAAAATGTTGACTTGTTAATATTAAATATATTTTAAGTTTTGTCTGACTAAAAACGTTCAGTTAGGGGGGGGGGGTCAATAATATGGAAATATATTCGAAATAATATATCTGGTAAGTACAAGTCAAGTTTTGTAAACAAAAAAGTTTAAAATCACAGTGATTCAGGTATCCATGAGGTTTGCATCAACTTTTAAGACCAAAGGCCTTAAAACTCAATTTATATATACAAGAGCTACAACGCGCTTGTTCCTAACTTTGGTTTAAAAGTTTAAAAGAACAACTGACAAAATACATTTTTACATGAGGGCCTGCACAGTGCACTATTTAGATCACTGTAAGATAGGGTTTCAGTCCAAAGCAAGATGGCGTTTACAATGCAAAAAAAAATTTAAATGAAGAAAAAATTAGGAAACATTTTAGAATTACAAATACACTTATTTATATAAACATTAATTTACTTAGTTAGAGTGTAATGTTGTTTATTGTTTTATTGCAATCTGTCTGTTTGATTGCATATTGCAATCTGTCTTTAATAAACATATTTAGAAGATAAGAATTGTAGTATATTGTAAATTACAACGCACGCCTGACAATCAAATTATTGGGAGTTTATACCGTTTCTAAAAAAATTTCCTGTTTTTTTTGAAAAAAAACAATTTAAATATAAAAGCCAAGTGAAAAAAAGGAGATATGGAGATTGGAGAGGGTCGGCAAGACAGACAAATCATGAAAAGGAAATAAGTTTTTTTGCAACAAAATCAGATTTCATAATCCTTATTTCTTTGCAACCCGATGTTGAAGACCTTGGATATTTCAAAATTTTAATTCTGCTAAAATATCCAAGATTTCAATAGTCAGGTTGCAACGATATCGAAATTATAAAATTGGAGATGGTGGCAAACTGAGTTCTTTTATTACGATAAATTTTTTAAAGTTTGATTTTGTGAATCAATATAGAAATTTAGGTTAACCAAAAAATTCAAAAAGTGAATTCAATTATGAAATTTTTTTTTTAACCCACGAATATAAACGCTCTACACTCATTTATTTTAGCATTTCACCTTAAACAAATGACCCCCGCCCCCTTACCTTACACCGTAAATCGTCAGGAAATGATAAGGAGGAAAACAAATACGAGAAAATTGTGTCCAAAAATTTTATGAAAAATATTTAGAATATACAATATTGGTAAAATCCTGTGTTAAACCATTTTAACAAAAAATTAGCTCGTGCACTAAATCAATTCAGTGTGCAAATATTTTTTTTTATTTTTTCAAAAATGTTTTTCCAGACAATTTCCATGGAAAAAACCTTGAATCTTAATAAAATCAATTCTATGGAAATGTGAAGGAATTTCCACTCTCGGCAAATAAAGATTAAAGTGACAAAACCCTTTCATGATAGGGATTTTTCTTTCATGTCAGGGATTTTTCTTTCATGATAGGGATTTTTCTTTCATGATAGGGAGTTTTCTTTCATGATAGGGATTTTTCTTTCATGATAGGGGTTTTTCCCTTTCGGCCTAAGAATGTCGTAACGTACATTAGTTTTATTATTTGTTTTGCGCGATTTCGTCTCTTATAGATATCCCCATGATGGGTTCCGACCAATGAGAGTTATCTCATTGGCTAAACAAGCATTAATCTTGATATCCACAAAACAAACGTGTCTAGCTAAAGATTGCCAGCCATGTGTTTTCAGAAAATGTACACATGGGATGAAACAATATGGCTGCCAAGCAACTGTTCATGGAGTAATTTCCAAGCCGACGATAGATACGCAAAATTCAGGTGTTTACATTTTGCATCGTATTTTCAAGAAATGCACTTTTAAATAAGATATACAAGTCAGCAGAAGAAAAATTTTAAAAATCTCTTTTTTTTCAAATTGAAATATTTATTTCTTAAAAAAGTTTAATTTTACGGTTTAACGATCCATATTTTTAAAACATACAGGGTGCAGGGGTCCATAAAATTCTTTTCAATCCCATTTGGGATGGACAAATTTGAAAGAAATGGGGGCAAATTTTTTTTAATGATAATTTTTAAAAAAATTGGATGTATTTTTATTTAATTGGGTGCATTTTTTTTTAAATTGGGGGCATATGTGTAAGTGGAATTTGAAAATTTTTTTTAATTGGGGGCATTTTTTGTAATTGGGGGGCATTTTTTTATAATCGGGGGCAAATGGGGGCAAATGGGGGCAAATGTGTTAGTGGAATTTGAAATTTTATTTTAATTGGGGGCATTTTTTTTAAAATTAGGGGCAAATGTGTTAGTGGAATTTTAAAATGTTTTTTTAATTGGGGGCTTTTTTATAATTGGGGGCATTTTTTACCCAATTGGGGCAAATGTGTTAGTGGAATTTTTAAATTAGGGGCATTTTTACAATTGGGGGCATTTTTTTTAAGTTGGGGGCAAAAAATTATTTTGGGGTCGAGAAAATCAGCTATTTTGGGAATTATATGGACCCCTGACAGGGTGACGTTATTTTCACAATGGTACACAGTTTACTAAACATGATTTAAAGGTTTTTAAATGAATGTTAACGTAAACATTTTTCATAGTAACAAATGTTTGTAATAAAAAATCGTTTAGAAATATATTTCTTGATATTATTGATACTTTTGTTTGTAATTAAAGGGACTGTAAGCATAATCAAGTTTAAGTGACCCTCCATGCAATAAATAGTTAGTTAAGAATGTTTATAATTTTGAAAACAAATTATTTTCAATTGTGGTTTCTCTACAAAAATGATCTTTGCATAAAGGTGTTAAGGGTATTCTTGTGAATCGGAGGGTTACTATCTTTGCATGGAGGGTTACTTGACATTATGCAATCAATAGTTATATTTCAAAATCAATAGTTATATTTCATAATCAATAATTATATTTCATAATCGGTAGTTATTCTTCATAATCAATTGTTTTATTTCATAATCAATAGTATTTATATTTCATAATCAATAGTTATATTTCATAATCAATAGTTTTATTTCATGAGCAATAGTTATATTTCATAATCAATAGTAATACTTCATAATCAATAATTATATTTTATTATCAATGGTTTTATTTCATAATCAATAGTTATATTTCACGATTAAAAGTTATCTAATTGATAGATTTTTGAAGATTAATTTAATTCCAGTGATCTTCTTTATCCTCTTCTCTTTGCTTTCCCTCTCCTTCTGGTTCGAGGTGTAATTGAACAGAAAATATTTAGGTAAGTAGCATTTATAATTTTTTAACACAGGGACCCTTCCATCCTTTATATATCTGATAAATAGCACAACCGACTTCATATCCTGTTATTTTTAATTTATTTCAAATTCCTATGAATAAAAATGAAAATGACTTTTATCTTCTGAATTATTGTGGTATTAATATACCCAGATTCCTTCGGGGTTTCTTTAAATTAAAAATTATAGAAAATTTTGAGAAGTAAATTATAGAAATCACAATTTTTAAAGGGATTGTAAACAAAATAAGTTTCATGAGGGTCACCCACCCATCCTTTATTTAAACAATCGTTAATATATTTATCAATTACTTTTTTAAAAAAATAAGAAAATGTTTTACATTTAATTCTCAGAGATCCAAAGGATGCAAAAATTCCATGAGAATTTGTCAATTACTTCTTAAAAACTAAGCTAAAGCTAAAATCATCTTTCTAAAATGTTAATAATGTCTAAGAAAACGCTGACAGTCCCTTTAATCTTCATTTTATTTATTGCTCCAATAAATTCAGCTATCTACGGTTGCAAAGCTGAAACTTGTCGTAAAACATGAAATGAAAAATATTATTCTATTAATTTAAATTAATTTGGAAATAAGTTTTCAGTTCAGGGTGTCCCACGAAACTTGACAGTAGAAAGACGACTTGAAGGTCGTCTTTAATCTTTGAAATGATTTTCAATATTCAATAGATCACTCAATTTTACAGCTTTCAGTTTTGAAACAAAAACCACAAAATTAACCTAGTCCAGGTATTTCCCAAGTGGTGTCTGTCTTTTTTGTGCTGTCAATATGTTTTGCGTACACTCCCTTTCAGACGTCTTTTTTGCTACCGCTTTATTACAGCTATTACGATTACAAAACATTAGGATTTTATCTCTCTAAGTTCGTCAGGATTTATATATTTAAAAAAAGAGGTTCCATAACAAGTTGTAGAATTGCTTATTAAAGGTACTGTTGGCGTATACCAAAGTCGTCTTTTTAACTTGATAACTGTTTTAATCTGTTAACTTTTGCAGAGAAACCACAATTGACGAAAATCAGTTTTTAAAATTATAAACATTCAAATATGATTTTTACATGACCAGACAAAGCTTTAAAGGGTACCATTGTAAACCAGGCATTGAGGGTCACACTCTCCTAAAATTACACTTAAAGTCCCTTTACAGATTAAATTAAAAAACAAAATGTGTTCTGCAACATTAATTTGTTGAGGACACTTCTTCATCTTTAATTTGTTCTCTTCGACCAAAAACAAAATAGAAAATAAAATGTTGATTTCTAAATGTTGGTTGGCAACATCAAATAATTATAAAAGTAAAACCCTCTCCCCTAAAAAAAGTTAGTATATTTTTATATTGTCAAGAAAACTTCTTTTTCAAGCTAGACTAATGTTAAATATTTAAGATCAAAATAGAGCTTACATCTGTAAATAATACCTTACTGCTTCTGCATGTACTGTACCCTGTGAAAACAAATCTGAGAAACGCTGCCTTAGATATTTTCTTTTCAAACTTTTAATTAACTTGTAGATTCAATTCAGAAGAACAAAATAACATTGTTTAATTTTTTTAGGTTTTTAGACAAAAAATTGCTATGAATGTTTTTTTTCAAACAAAGGGTTTAAAACGAATCAAGTTTATATTCGAACTAAAAAGAGATTAGTTCAATCTCCAACTTGGTTTAAGCTTGACATAGAATTTATATTCTATAGCCCCCCCCCCAAAAAAAAAAACCCTAAATATTTGACATCCGTTTTTATTAGAAATTAAAACCCAAAAAAGTTCAGCGTCAGGTACAACTATAGTCAAGGGGGGAAAAATTATAAAAAATGCAAGAATCACCACTTTTAATATTATTTATCTTGCATTTTTTATAAATTGATTTTTTTTGCAGATATGTCGGACTGAGAATAGGATTTAACGAAAAAGACAAGAAACAGGAAAGAACAAATTTTAAGAAATTCCCCCTGACCTTTTTAAAAATCCCACACAACTATACCACCACCCCATCCTTATCCGCCTTAATTATAAATTTAAAAATTTAGACACTAAAATTTTCTTTACAACTTTCCAGCAAAAATGCGCGAATTTGCTTACGCATTCCGCGTACTTTTGCACGGAATTTTTCATTTTTGAGCGAAAATTTATTTTTCGGAAACAAGGAGCGCAATTCCGCACAAGAAAAATCCGCGAAAAAAATCCGGAAAAAAACCTTTTTACTACATAGCATTATTTGTTTATTAAATTATATATATTAATAATTTTTGTTGATCCATACCGAACGAAAAAAGTTCGCGCAAAAATTCAAAATTTTCGCGAAATGATTTTTCCAAAAAAATCTTTATTCGGTTACATATTATAATTTTTTGTTTTTCTCAATAGAGCATCAATAAGAGGAGTTATGATTGAAAATATTTAAGATTTCGTTCTAACCTGCGATTTACTTTAGTTTTAAGCAAGTAAGCTTTTAATATTTCAACTAACACTATTTGATCTAACTAAATTTTTAGTTCAAGTATAATTTTAAACTTAGAATTTTTAATAATCAGAATGCAAAGATTTAGCAATTAGAAAATTAGAAGGTGCATGACGTGTGTTTAGTTCCTGTATGTCTCAAGTTAAATAGCTTCTCTTTTCTCTTAACTAAACTTTTTCTGTAAAAGTCAAACTACTAACCTACTCAATAAAGAACTTCCCAACAAAGCTAAAGATATTTAAGATGGTTCTAAAACGAGTTCCCCAATCAAAACTTTAACCTATCCCCGCTGGGGTACTTGAAAACCAGGATACGCTGGGGGGGGGTCAATTTGACCCCCTCCTCTAAATCCCATGTTTTATGTCCAAATATGACAAATGATACATCATTAGAAAGCTCTTGTGCTCTACTTTTAGAATCTGCAAAAAAATTTGCAAATTTGCGAAAATTGAATTTTTTATCGCAAAATCCATTCTTTCAACAGAACTCCTCTGTAAGCTGTTGGATCAAAAAGAAGATAGAACGAAGAAAGTTATCAGAACTAGGAAAACTGGATAAAATATTGATTTTTCTAATTTTAACTTTGAAAAAAAGCAGATATATCCAAATTTATGAATTTTTAAGTTATATATAAGGATGAGATTTTAAGGACACAGTGTAAACCATTAACCTCCGTAAGGTCGTCTTTGACCAAAATTATTCTCCGATAACCCAACCCCAACGATTGCAGTGAACACGTTAAAAAAATAATAAAAGCCTAAAATCCGTGATTTTTGTAGTAACAACAAAGTTTTGTAACAAAACGGATATTTATTTTCAGAAGTTTAAATGTTTTATTGTTAATTGTTTCCCTTAAACCCTAAAGTTGGCCCCCTCCCCTTCCCCCGGTCTACCTGTTATTAGGGTTAATTTTTCTCTATTTTCAGACCATGCAATGGTCACCGAGAGTAAATTACATTTTTCATTTATTTTCGTTTTTTTACTTTTTTCATCTCGATGTCACACGAAAGAGAAAAGTTTTAATAGATAATAATTTAATCCTAAAATTGATAATTTTACCAAATCAAATCGAATAATTATTTTATATCAAGAATTCACTGAACAAAGAACCTTAATTGGATAGAAGGTAATAGAGGTTGGACCTTCATTCCAAAAAATTCAAGTTGGAGGAAAATCTAGGGTTTCCAAAGAATTATAACGTCCCCCCCCCCCCGCATCACCACAAAAAAAATATATTTTGGCGGTTTCTCCATGGAAATTGAATTTTATCCTGATTGAATGAGTTTAGATAAGTTTACAGAAACTGGATATAGATGGCTCTGCTATCTTTTTCTTCATATTCTTAGTTTAAAGACAATGCTGACAAAACCTTGGCTATGGCAGGTGGAAAATTAAAGAAAAAAATCTTAATATTTTAAAATGTAAACATACTTAATGTAGGTATACTACATGTATACAGCAATAACCAGAAAATTGTGGAAGACGACATTTAAGCAAAGTTTAAGTGTATTTGATGTTTTTACAAAGCAAATGGTTTTAATAGTGACTTTTTAAATCACTTATTCAGTGAAATGAACCTGTTTGCTATATGTCTTATGTTCATTGGATTTTTAAAAGTCTAAAAGTAGTTTTTCTAATCCAGAGAGTTTTCTGGTTCTCACTGTATTTAATCTCAACCGACAAATAAATCAATTCTTTCCAAAATGAAAAGTGTGTTAAAAAAATTGAATTTGTTTAGTCTGGTCATATGTGGCTGGGATATCCCAACCTTCATTACATAGGTAAATATAGATCACATAAACTAATTAGAAAACATTTTAGAATAGACTAGCTGGAGCATGCCCAACCGGTGTTACCCAGGCTTATATTATATTTTATTGTCACAGATACTCCCGCCGTTTACCCGCGCATGGCAATAAATCATGATTTAAGATGAAGTGCAGGCTGGCGTTGCCTATGATATTTCAAAAATGTTAAGAAAAAATTTACCCTATGTTATTTTGAACCCTTTTAAGTCTTTATTACAATTACAATATCTTCATATTCTTGATCGAATAAAGGTTTCAAGGGTACCATTACTGTTTTTTTTTTNTAGGAGTCCTTCCATACTAGCATAATAATTGAAGTGGAAAAGAATAAATAATGGTTTATTAAATTCATTAGCAACCATCATTGTGTGTGGAAACAATATCTAATCCAACCTAATTTAATAAAAAGATAATCATAAATATTAATATATTTTCATATTACACAAACATGCTATATTCTGTCTATTCTAAACAATATTACTGTTTCTGCAGAAAGTGAGTGTGTTATATTCAAGGTTGCGTATTAAAGTTAGTTACTCAGGTTGCGCTCCAAATGTATGGGAAAAGACCATAGAGTAATAAAACGAAGAGGTGAAGCTTAGCTCAGATGTACACATACCGACCTGTCTATTGATTAATTAATAGATTGGTCGGTTGTGTACATCACGATATGTTTACGTATCTAACGTTGCGCACTTGTATATAGAGCGATCGTATTTCTAAAGGGGGATTTTATGGAATTGACCAATTTTTAGATTTTCTTTCTTTATTTAAAGAGAATTCGAGGATGTTGACTGCAAACATTTAACAATTTTCAAATTTGTAGGTTTTCAATTTATTAGCAAAAAGTTCTGTCAAAAAATATTAAGTTTCTAGGGCATGATTTTAACTGAAAACATTCTTATTTCAAACATTTTTTATTGTTTCTTCTCTTCAACTCTTTATCATAAACATGATAGTGTATGCAGGGTTCTGCATACACAACGTTTTAATTTCATCTTCCGCCATTAATCAGTTACCTGGGAATGCTGCGAAGACGACATTTTCCGTATATTAGAACGCATCCAGAACGTATATAACCTTAATAAAAAACCTTGGTCCTACTTAACAAAAAAGAAGACCAGAGTAATCTCTCGAGAAGGATGGTACATTTGGTGTACCGTCACCACATAGATACAAGTAACTATGAAAATAAAAGTAACTATAAAAAGTTGCCTCAATTTTTAAAGACTGGGTCGTCTGTGCCGCAACGTTTTGATCTTTAATTTCAACAAAACCTTTTTATAGTCTTAGACATGTACAATTTAGATCTATAAAGCGAGTGCCTTTAGCTATAGTTTTCAAGAAGTAATTGGCAAAAATCTTAAACATTTTTGCTTTTCAGCGCTTCTTTGGTTTACTGTGTCACGTTTTGTCGTCTATAATCTACAGAGTTACCAACAAAGAATGAGGCTTCAGAGACGATTGTGTGGAATTTATACTATTAATAATGATTCTCTGCAACTCATAACTTGTATATCTTTCGGTGCCCAATCATTAAAAATGCCAAAAAATCTATATTTAAGGCAAAAAACTTTATTCAACCTTAGAATTGTCATATTCAAAGAGTTTTAGGTCGTCTTTAAAGTTCCATCCTTTGTGGGCAACCTGTATATGTGCATAGTGTACAGCAAGATCTATCTATACTGTACAACAAGCCTTATCTATACAGCTTGAAAGCCAGTCCGGTAATTTAGATGAACTGGAGCTTGCTGTCTAGACAGAGGTCATCATTTTTTTCAGTGTCAATCAAATAACGGTTGTATGATTCATGTTTTTGTTGTCATTTTGTGTGGAAAAGCGCATGCCCGAATCACAACGGTACCCTTGTAACCTTACTATGATAAGGAAGATAAAGTTGTTGTTCAGACTTGAAGAGTGTGCATTTAATTGTTTATTTCTGAAGCAAGAATTGCTCAAATCACTTTTGTAGAGAAATCATAAATTATAAAATAATCAGTTTTCCAAAATAAAAACGTGGATAAATATAATTCATACCTAATCAGACATTACAGCTATTCTATGGTCACTTGAAGTTACGTTTACAGACCCTTTAAACTGTCAAAAATGAATTATTTGTTATTACTTACTTGTATCTTTTTAGACAAAAGGAGTTTCTTTGTCAAAATAGGATTTTAACTAAATTCTTTATATATCTAATGAGTTTAAAAGAACAAAAATGACCATCTCCATTTTGGAAATGCCAGGAAGAGATCAGAGATGAGCTTTAATACTAATAGTATTGTATTTATTAATCATATTTATTTATTAGATTTACGAAAAAATGCCGCAATACATCTCAGGACGACGACATGTCATAAAATTTCCATGTTGACTGTTTTGTCATGCAACAGATGTAATTGACAATGCAACGGATAACCTGGGTATACTGCGTCAGATAACTTTGGGAGGTCTAATTTTATAAAAATATTATTAGATGGAGAAATCTGGTTTTATTATATGGCAGAACTAACCTTCTACTGGTCTCTATTTTTCTCACAATTTGTTGATGTCAAACGTAAGGTAACAAAATTTATTTGATTTTTGAAAAGGAATTGAGTCTTTGCCAGAAACTCGAATTTTCTATTTTTAATATCTTTGCAACCCAATATTGCAGACCTTTGATATTTCAAATTATGAATTCTGTTATATCAGATAATCTAAATTTGAAATATCAAAGATGTACAAAATCAGGTTTCAAAAATATTGGGATCCTAATTTTTGATTTGGTTGCATTAACTCAATTCCTTTTAAAGAGAATGTAGACAATATTTCAAAATTAGCATGTCTAATTCTCCATGGTATCCTTAAATCCATGCTGGGGGGTGGGGGTCAATTTGACTCACCCAATAGTTTTTTTAAACAACTCAAAAAGTATTTGTCTTAGGCTCTGTTGAAATTTTCTAACATTTCCTACTTACCCATAGCTCTCCCTTTAAGTCTAAAACCAGGCTTTTATACTAACTAAATCCTCAGGCACACTGTTCGAGTCCTCAAGCAAACTGCCTGAATTACTATCTTTTCTGTAACAAACTAAATTTTTGTTTTGACCCACTTTTAGTTGTCAGATTTTGATCATTTTTAGCTTTTTGGAAAGCCTATGACATAAGGAAACGCATTGCCCAAATTTTGCAAAGAAATTTTGCAAACTATTTGCATAAAACCCGTCAAAAGAAATTTGCACAATCTTTAATTTTCTTAATTAAACATCAGGTTATTTAAAATTTTGCAAACATTTTTGCATATTTGAAATGGCATGGTCAAGGGCTTTTAAGAAATGTATATTTAATTATTTTTGGACATTTTAATTGCAAACATTTATAACTGGATTTTGCAAACAAATCTATTTTCGCAAATTTGCAATTTTTTGGCAGATTCTATAAGTAGAGCATAAGTGCTTCCCAATGATGTATCAGTTGCCATATTTTGACATCAAACATGGGCTCACCATAAGATAGGTCCTTTCTCTCTGAAGTCAACAAAGGCACCTGGAATTGGAACTTATATAGTTGATAAAATTTGATACCAAATTTTCATATTCGGTTTCTCATTACTAACTGTTGAAATGTAAAAGAATCTCAAATTTGGGCGACATTGTTTAAAATTTAAAGAATTTTCTTCAAAAGTTTTAAATTTTAAGAGTAAGGAAAAGTTAACTAATCAAATTTTTAAATCCACAGGAAAGAGGATATTTTTATTCAATTAAACCAGACAATATGTGTTTATACTTTATTTTAGAAATTTAAACATTTCAATTAACAAATTTACCATCTATATTGTGAAATTACTAGCTTAAGAACCCAGTGACAGGAAAGAGGAAATTTTTATTCAATTAAACCAGACAATATGTCTCTATACTTTATTTTAGAAATTTAAACATTTCAATTAACAAATTTACCATCTATATTGTGAAATTACTAGCTTAAGAACCTAGCGTTGCTTAGGGTACTCATAGTAAATCCCACCGGTTACCCGCACTTAATCGTAAATCACAATTTTAGCTATATGTCCCTATAAAAAAAAGTGGATCCACTTAACTAATAACATTCCCGAGTTCCACAATCAAAATTTGAGGCAAATCGGTCGAGGGGTTCATGGATTATGATCGGATATACAAAAAAATCGACAAACAGAGATTACAATGATTGTTTAGGATTTTGTTAAAATGTTTCTACATCATATTACTACAATCTTACTACTTGTTTAGGATTTTGTTGAGATGTTTCTACATCATATTACTAAACTCTCACTAATTGTTTAGGATTTTTTGAGAAAATCTTGGGAATAGTTCCAGGGAAATTCTCAGGAATTGGTTCTGAAGACCTTTTCGCTACAAATTTTCTCTGGTTTTTCTGAAGAATTGGTAACAAGAAATTCCCTATAATTGGTTACATGAAATTCCTTGAAAAGAGTTAAAAGAATTTCCTCGGAATGGGTAACAAGAAATTCCTCGGAATGGGTTACAAAAAATTCCTTGGACCTGGTTCCTCGGAATGGGTTACAAGAAATTCCTGGGAAAAGCTGGACATTTTCACCGGATTTTCCTGAAAAAGATTCCTGTGAATTTCCGCGGATTCCCAGGAAAGATTCCTGGAAATTTCCGCGGATTTTCCACAAAATTGTTACTTGGGTACATCATATTGCTACACTCTCACTAATTGTTTAGGATTTTGTTGAGATGTTTCTACATCATATTACTACACTTTCACAAATAATTGTTTATGATTTTGTTTAGATGCTTCAACATCATATTGCTATACTCTCAAAATTAATTGTTTAGGATTTTGTTGAGGAGATGTTTCTACATCATATTACTAAACTCTCACTAATTGTTTAGGACTTTGTTGAGATGTTTCTACATCATATTACTAAACTCTCACTAATTGTTAAGGATTTTGTTGAGATGTTTCTACATCATATTGCTACATTCTCTCTAATTGTTTAGCATTTTGTTGAGATGTTTCTACATCATATTGCTACATTCTCACTAATTGTTTAGGATTTTGTTGAGATGTTTCTACATCATATTACTAAACTCTCACTAATTGTTTAGGATTTTGTTGAGATGTTTCTACATCATATTACTAAACTCTCACTAATTGTTTAGGATTTTGTTGAGATGTTTCTACATCATATTACTAAACTCTCACTACTTTTTTAGGAATTTTTTTAGATGTTTCTACATCATATAACTAAACTCTCACTAATTGTTTAGGATTTTGTTGAGATGTTTCTACATCATATTACTAAACTCTCACTACTTTTTTAGGAATTTTTTTAGATGTTTCTACATCATATTAATAAACTCTCACTAATTGTTTAGGATTTTGTTGAGATGTTTCTACATCATATTACTAAACTCTCACTAATTGTTTAGCATTTTGTTGAGATGTTTCTACATCATATTGCTACATTCTCACTAATTGTTTAGGATTTTGTTGAGATGTTTCTACATCATATTACTAAACTCTCACTAATTGTTTAGGATTTTGTTGAGATGTTTCTACATCATATTGCTACACTTTCACAAATAATTGTTAAGGATTTTGATGAGATGTTTCTACATCATATTGCTACACTCTCACTAATTGTTCAGGATTTTGTTGAGATGTTTCTACATCATATTACTACACTTTCACAAATAATTGTTTATGATTTTGTTTAGATGCTTCGACATCATATTGCTATACTCTCAAAATTAATTGTTTAGGATTTTGTTGAGATGTTTCTACATCATATTGCTAAACTCTCAATAATTGTTTAGGATTTTGTTGATTTTGTTGAGATGTTTCTCCATCATATTGCTAAGCTCTCACTAATTGTTTAGGATTTTGTTGATATGTTCCTACATCATATTGCTACACTCTCACTAATTGTTGAGGATTTTGTTGAGATGTTTCTCCATCATATTGCTAAACTCTCACTATTTGTTTAGGATTTTGTTGAGATGTTTCTCCATCATATTGCTTAACTCTCACTACTTGTTTAGGATTTTGTTGAGATGTTTCTACATCATATTACTAAACTCTCACTAATTGTTTAGGATTTTGTTGAGATGTTTCTCCATCATATTGCTACACTCTCACTAATGACATTTAGCTGGATATGTCATCTTCACAGGTTATTTTGTACTATGTACTTGTTGACATATAGTCAAATAAATAAATAGACAATAACGGGCTTTTCGGAACTTTATTGAAATAAAACAAAGAAAGTAAATAAAGTTTATAAATAGTTTTCCTTAAGAGGGATAGGAAATGGTTAGACAGAAATTAGGATTATTGATTATTTGGTGGTTATCATGATGAAAAATAATCGGGAAAAGCTGGAACTTCATGTTGACTGCCCGCAGGTTCTCAGCAGTTTCTCTCCCATCTAGGCTTTAGTGTCAGGGATTAAATGGGTTACTAGTTACTTTGGTTTTTACCCTGACATGTTGTTGGCTTCGACATTAACAGCATCCGCTGAAAGGGCTGGGATCTGTGGCTGATTCATGAAGGAGTTGGACGTCCCTTTAAGGCTGGAGGTGTTTACGTCACGGCATATCTATTCCAACTGAAGTACCCTCCCCAGTAGGTGGAGGAAGGGGGGGGGGTAGGAACGTGGATTCCACATCTTCCCATCTTGAGAATATTACGCGGTCCACTGCGCATCACAAACTTCATAAAAGATCGTCTTTAAAGATGAATTTGTTTGACAGTACTGTGTACTCTAGTATTTAGTAGTATTTATTGTACTTTGTGTAATCTTTGGTTGGATGTGTTGTAATGTTTGTACTCTAGGGTAGGATCTGTTGTAATGTTTGTACTCTTGGATAGGGTCTGTTGTGATGTTTGTACTCTAGGGTAGGGTCTGTTGTAATGTTTGTACTCTAGGATAGGGTCTGTTGTAATGTTTGTACTCTAGGGTAGGGTCTGTTGTAATGTTTGTGCATGATTTTGCTGATCATTGGCTTGAACTGGGCAAACTGCTAAAATATGCAAAATTTCAGGTAAAATTTTTGCGGAAAATAATGGCAGGTTTTTCCAAAAATGTTCATTGTACATTTGCATGCTTATTTTTTTTTAGAATTTATAAGATTTCCTGGCAATTCAAAGGCACAACACAATTACGTTTCAAAACTGCATTCTGCAAAAGTTTCCAGGAAACTTTTATCCAAACTTATAATTCTGTTACACTAATAAAAGCATCACAGCATTAGGCATTATTTATAAATCTAAAGTGTACACCCATTAAGCCAAAAAAATTGGATCATGGGAAAAAAATTTTTTTCTTGATTTAGGTTTATTGTTTTAGAAAATGTGTGATGCAGTTTTTGTAGTATTCTGCAGTGTCTGGGTCTCTACGAGAGTAGGTAAACCCATTAGATTAAAGGGAGCATATATATGGACGTAATTTCAAGAAACCTTCCAGCTATAGAGTGGCATATTCGATTCACAAGGATACCCTTTAATTCTTAATCTATGCATTAATGATTGAATTGTTTTTTTATCTGAAAATTGATAAGTTTGCAAAAAAAGTAACTTTCAGGTGTGAACAGACAATAAATTAACGTTTATTTGTTTGAATGATATATTATTTTGAGAAAAAAACTCAGCGGTAGCGGTTGAACGAGCTGTTAAGATCTAGCCTAAAATCTACATAGTCTTTTAAAGGTTTTTTTGCTTTTAATCGCTGGATTTTTTGCTCGGTTAAGATTTTTCAGCAACTTTTTTGCTTTCAACCGCTGGCTTCAAGACTTTGAAAACCTTTTTTTTTCAACCGCTATGTTTAAGGTTTTTCAGCACTTGCTTTCAACTGCTGTGTTTAAGATTTTTCAGCAACTTTTTCCCTTTTAACCGCTGGGTTTAAAATTTTTCAGTAACTTTTAGACCTTTAACCAGTGCTTAAGATTTTAAGCACATTTTTGCTTTCAACCACTAGTAAAAAGTTTTTCAGTTTTTCAAGCTTTTTAGTAACTTTTTTGCTTTCAACCTATGTGTAAGATTTTGCTTTAAACCGCCTGGTTTAAGATTCTTTAGTTAGTATAAAAGCCCGGTTTTAGACCTAAAAGGAGGGCTATAGGTATTTAGGAAAAGTCAAAAAAAATCAAAAGCCTCAATACATTTTTAGTAAAAAAATACGGTTTAGTGAATATGATCTGTGCTAAAAAAAACAAGATTATTGCTGTTCAAGAAATGCATTTGCAGAAGCATGAACTTAAAGGAATTTTTTTTATAAATCCTTTAAAAATGGTTTTTCAGAACATTTCAGTTTCTTTGTAAAATATTTTTCATCATTTTATTGTTTTTTTTTTTACTTTAGATCTTTCTCGAACTTTCCCTGATAATATTTTCCAGTTAAAATATGAAAGTTACATGTATGTATATTTACAAAGTCAAGCTAAAAAGAATTATGACAATGGGAGATTTTTTAACCATCGATTTTGTTTCAATATGGCATGATAATCAATCAAGTTCTTTAGGCAATTAACCAAATGTATTTTTTTTGATAGATTCCTTTGAAATTAGTTAGATATTTTATGAAAATGGGACCACTGTAACAGTAAAGTAAACTGTAAATTGATGGTATTTTGCATCTGCATACTGCATACATGGCAAGTGAACGGTCTCTTTAAATGTTATGAATGTATTGTTTTATTACAGGAATCTATCCCCAATGGGTTCTATACTCAACAACAGTAGAAGCAGGACAGGTATTTAAAAATATAAATATATAAAAGTAGCTTGGGAACCCAGCTTTGCCTAAGGACTGAACTTTCTCTAGAAAAGTCAACCTAATAAACTTATATTTGTTTAACCAAGCTAAGAATATTCTGCAGCTTATACCAAGTTCCAAATCAAAAATTTGAGCAGATTACTACTATATAACTTGATATATGCTGAAAGGGCCAATTCTTTTAAATTAGTCAAAGTGTATTGAGAGTGTTTTAGAAACATTATAGGCAGTCTCTCAAGCATTGAGATTTGTCATATTATTACATAGAAAAAAACTTTAGTTGTTCACTGAAAAAGTTTTTTTCTCCATGATTTGTATAGGACGGAAAGAGATTATTGGAGGCAATTTTATTAACTTTCCTGGACTCATGTTATGATGTCAGCTGAAATAAGCATATTCATAAATGAAATGAACATGCAATGAACATGCAATGAACATAAAAAGAACATGAAATGAACATGAAATGAACATGAAATGAACATGAAATGAACATGAAATGAACATGAAATGAACATGAAATGAACATGAAATGAACATGAAATGAACGTGAAATGAACATGAAATGAACATGAATCTATCTATAGATGATGGACATGTTCCCAATGTACTATGTTTTCAACTTTTTACTCTCAGGTAACAAAATTAAAGATTTTCATTTGGTAAATATTATAATATTTCTTAACTTAGAAATAAAAAAACCGATTTAGTTCAACTTATGACTAATTTTAATACAGCTTACCCCAACGATTTTGAGCCATTGAAAGGCTTTTTGAAATGTCGTCTTGACAATTTTCGATCATGGGCTTTATACTTTTATACCTAAATCTAAATAATTGCAAAAATAAATACATAGCCATGAAAATACGGAAACAGTTTTAAAAATCTCCATATAATCATTTAATTAAAAACTAAATATTTTCAAAATTCTATGATCAGAAAGTTAAGAATACGACATTTTATAATTTCTTTCGATGTCTCTTTATATTGGAATTTAACTGTAGAATCACCAAATGTTACTTGCATGACTGAAGTTGAAAATGAAAAAAGTTGAGGAAGAGATTTTTCTCCTCATACTCGTGGACCTATCCGATTAAAAATGCCTGTAAAATACTTGACAAAATTGAAATATCATCATTATTTGTTTAAAATAGACCAATTGAATAATGTTATTTAGGGCTCCTAATTCTTCATCTTTTTTGGACTTATTTTATTTTGAAAGCTGCTTATAAGGTAAAAAAATGTTGAAACATTTATTTATTCTCAAATTTTTGCATGGAGCCTCTAAGAAGTACAACATCCTTTCAAGTTTTAAAAAGCCTTGAAGAGCATACATTCTCAAATTCTTGCTTAACTTCCTTAAAGTTAAAAAAACATTTAATTTTTAAAAAGTTTAAAAATATGTAATTTTGAACATACCCAAAGTTTTTTTTAAATTACGATCATATTTTTTTTGAAAGTGTAGACCTAGAGATTGGCTTTTTTCATTTCGCTCGTTCATCTTTTGTGAACAACCCATTTCGTTAGTTTTTTTCAGTCGTTCAAAATAAAATTGATTTGAAGATTTCGTTCGTTCTCCAAAATATCTTTAATGTTCTACCTATTTTGTTCGTTTTCTCACTGAACGATCATTCAGTAGCTCATGAAAAAAATTGTTTGTTCAGTAATAAAAACTAAAGTTGTTTTCAAAAGTTTGATCTAAAAATGTTCTTCATTAAAAACTATCTTTAGTAAAAATGTTGTTCCAAAATATAGCTAGCTCAGTAAAAAAAGCGAGCATTCTTTAAAAAATCTGTTGAAAAAATTGTTCTTTCAGTTAAAAATATCGCTTTTGTTCAAGTTTGTTTTTATTTTTAATTTTAATTTTAATTGTTCGCTGTTGTGCCTTTTTTCATTCGTTTTAAAAACGATAATTTTTCATTTCTCTAAAAAGTTGTTCATCCATCATTCTTTTTTTTAACGGCTCCATCGTTCTCAAAAAGATCGTTGGTTCACAAAAACGATGCCCGTCTCGATGTAGACCTCGTGAACTGTTTTAAATATTCTAGGCTGTCATGTTCTCTGATGATATCTCAGACAACAGAAGTGAAGGAGACGAATCAGAACCTGAAGATGAAGGAGAAGAAGAAGGAGACGAAGGGGAAGATAACAATGACGATATAGAAGACAAAGGACTCGAAGACGCAGAAGAAGATGGATATAAGTCTGATGATGATTATGAAGAAGAAAGCATAAGTTCTGAATTAGATTACAGTAAAGAGGAAAATACATAATAAATTAAAATCAAATAAATTAAAAATAAATAACCTTGAATTTAGTTTTAAATGTTGCAATTTAATTTTAAAAGAAATTGAGTTTTTGGTCACAACTCTGATTTTCAAATCCCAATATCTTTGCAATCTTATTTCGTCTACTAAATAAGGTTATGAATTATGAATTCTTTTAGATCAAATAATATAAGATTGAAATATTAAAGGTTTTGAAAAATCTGTTGAAAAGATAGATAGAGATAGAGAGATAGTAAAATACAAATTTGTAAAAAAGACTCTCTTCCTCTGGTTGAACTTAATCTTAAACGAATGCCTATCAAGAAACCCCTGAACTCAATTTTTAATGGATTTTCTTCCTCGGAACTCCTAAACTCAACCTTAAAGAGAATGTCTGTCAAGGCTCCCCAGAACTCAACCTTAAAGGGAATGTCTGCCAAGAAATTCCTAAACTCAATCTTAAAGGGAATATCTGCAAAAAAACCTTAAACTCAAGCTTAAAAGTTAATTCTGCCAAGGAACTCCTAAACTCAATCTTAAAGGGAAAGTCTGCCAAGGAACTCCTAAACTCAATCTGCCAAGGAACCCCTTAACTCAATGTTAAAAGGAATTTCTGCCAATGAACTCCTAAGCTCGATCTTAAAGGGAATGTCTGCCAAGAAACCCCTAAGGTCAATCTTATAGGACATATCTGCCAAAAAACCCTAAACTTAATCTTAAAGAGAATATCTGCCTAGGAACCTCAAAGCTAAATTTAAAGGGCAGGTCTGCCAAGGAATCCCTTATCTTAAAGGGAATGTCTGCCCTGAACTCCGTCTTAAGGAAATATCTGCAAGGAACTGCTATCCTCCATCTTAAAGGGAACGTCTGCCCTGAACTCCGTCTTAAGGAAATATCTGCAAGGAACTGCTATCCTCAATCTTAAAGAGAATGTCTGCCCTGAACTACGTCTTAAGGAAATATCTGCAAGGAACTGCTATCCTCAATCTTAAAGGGAACGTCTGCCCTGAACTCCGTTTTATGGAAATATCTGCAAGGAACTGCTATCCTCAATCTTAAAGGGAATGTCTGCCCTGAACTCCGTATTAAGAAAATATCTGCAAGGAACTGCTATCCTCAATCTTAAAGGGAATGTCTGCCTTGAACTCCGTCTTAAGGAAATATCTGCAAGGAACTGCTATCCTCAATCTTAAAGGGAATGTCTGCCCTGCACTCCGTCTTAAGGAAATATCTGCAAGGAACTGCTATCCTCAATCTTAAAGGGAATGTCTGCCCTGAACTCCGTCTTAAGGAAATATCTGCAAGGAACTGCTATCCTCAATCTTAAAGAGAATGTCTGCCCTGAACTACGTCTTAAGGAAATATCTGCAAGGAACTGCTATCCTCAATCTTAAAGGGAATGTCTGCCCTGAACTCCGTATTAAGAAAATATCTGCAAGGAACTGCTATCCTCAATCTTAAAGGGAATGTCTGCCTTGAACTCCGTCTTAAGGAAATATCTGCAAGGAACTGCTATCCTCAATCTTAAAGGGAATGTCTGCCCTGCACTCCGTCTTAAGGAAATATCTGCAAGGAACTGCTATCCTCAATCTTAAAGGTAATGTCTGCTCTGCACTCCGTCTTAAGGAAATATCTGCAAGGAACTGCTATCCTCAATCTAAAAGGTAGTGCCTGCTTTGGCTCCCCTTAATCCAATCATGCAGAATCACAGGTCTTATTAAGAGCAGAGTCACGATACCAGAGTTAACGATTGGGAAAAATTGTAACCTCATCTAATGAGCATGATTTAAAGAAAAACACATGGGAATTTTTATAGAAATATTTTGCTATTTTGTGAATAAAACAATGCGTACAAATAACGCAAAAAATTGAAAAAATCTAAATTGGTGTGTAAATTTTAAATCAGGGATTTTCTGGGATATTTTTTGATTTCGGATTCAAATAAAAGTATGTTGTTGTTTATTATAACAGGTTCAAGATATGTTGTCAATTTCTAACTGTTGAAGGTGTGCGGTAGCCCTAAAGGTCGACATTCAAATATACATGTTCGGGGATGGAAAGCTGATGTACGTGCAGTAGGTTGGATGCAACTAATAGTTAATTTACGTGAATTTTTAGGATAATGTCTGCCAGGGAACCCCCTGAACTCAAATTTTAATGGATCGTCTTCCTGGAAACTCCTAAACTCAATCTTAAAGGGAAAGTCTGCCAAGGAACTCATAAACACTACCTTGCAGGAGGAACTCATAAACTCAATCTTTAAGAAAGTGTCTGCTAAGGAACTTCTGAACTCAATCTTAAAAGGAAATGTCTGCCAAGGAACCCCTGAACTCAATCTTAAAGGGAATGTTTGCCAGGGCTCCCCTAAACTCAATCTTAAAGGGAATGTCTGCCAAGGCTCCCTGAACTCAATCTTAAAAGAAATGTCTGCCAAGAAATTTCTAAACTTAAACTTAAAGGGAATATCTGCCAAGGCTCCCTGAGCTCAATCTTAAAGGGAATGTCTGCCAAGGCTCCTTGAACTCAATCTTAAAGGGAATGTCTGCCAAGGCTCCATGAACTCAATCTTAAAAGAAATGTCTGCCAAGAAATTTCTAAACTTAAACGTAAAGGAAATGACTGCCAAGGAACCCCTAAGCTCAATCTTAAAGTGAATGTCTGCCAAGGAACCCCTAAACTCAATCTTAAAGGGAATGTCTGCCAAGAAACCCCTAAGCTTAATCTTTATAGGAAATATCTGCCAAAAACCCCCAAAACTCAATCTTAAAGAGATTGTTTGCTAAGGAACCTCTAAGCTAAATTTAAAAGAAAATGTCTGCCAAGGAACCCCTAAACTCAATCTTAAAGGGAATGTCTGCCAAGGAACCCCTAAACTCAATCTTAAAGGGAATGTCTGCCAAGGAACATCTTAAAAGAAATATCTGCCAAGGAACCACTTTTCTCAATCTTAAAGGGAATGTCTGCCAAGGAACCCCTAAACTCAATCTTAAAGGGAATGTCTGCCAAGGAACCCCTAAACTCAATCTTAAAGGGAATGTCTGCCAAGGAACCCATAAACTAAATCTTAAAAGAAATATCTGCCAAGGAACCCCTTTTCTCAATCTTAAAGGGAATGTCTGCCAAGGAACCTCTAAACTCAATCTTTATAGGAAATATCTGCCAAAAACCCCTAAACTCAATCTTAAAGAGAATGCCTGCCAAAGAAACCTTAAACTCAATCTTAAAGAAAATATCTGCCAAGGAACCCCTAAAATCAATCTTAAAGGGAGTGTCTACCAAAGAACCCTTAAACCGAATCTTAAAGGGAGTGTCTACTTAGGAATTCCTTGATTTAATCTTAAGTAAATGGTTTTGCGCCTAATGCCTTGTAATGGATTTATGAAATCTATCTATATATATTCATCAGAGACCCCATGCTTTACATTGGAGCCCCTAAATATTCATTTCAGAGTACAAACTGTTCTTCACAGGCCCTATACATTTTCTATCGAAGAGCTCTTCATGGTTCAGTCACCAATATATTATAAAGAAAATTCCTAGAATTTTTCTTCAGATAAAATGTTTGGGGTCTCCGGTCACTGCTGAATATCTTGAGGTGTCTAATAGGATCACACTTTTGTACACCTTTAATAGCAAGTTTGTGGTCTCCAATGAAAATATATCTGGAGGGTCTCCGATGAAAAGCTACCCCCGGGTCTCCGATGCAAATGTAAACAGGGTAACTATACCCCTAAGATTCNTCTAGGGGGGGGAGGGGTTAATTAACCCCAATTACCCCCCCTTTACTTTACGCCACTATATTGGCCAATTTTAAAAATCGTCCGCCGCATTTTTTTTTTAAGTTTAACGATCATCTAATTTCAGGTAAATTCATGATTTTATTGTTTAATTATTACTAAACTTGCTGAGTTAGCTCAAAGCTGATAAAACATGAAATTTCTCCGAATAATGTTCGAATGTTTATTGTTGGTTTTCAAAACTACATTCTCGGCTGTTTTCATAGAAAAGTGCCAGTTTCTTGCTCTCTTCAAACCTACCTGTTAAAATCCGTGCCAGCACCACGCGCGCAAGTTGTACCGGTCCGCCCCAGCCGGCTGAGATGGTCCAATGACCTGTACCGTCTGTTGAGTGAACAGGTTGGTGTCCCGGACCGACCTTGCTGCCTATACTTCAAGAATTCCATTCAAGTCTAGTACTCTAGAAGGAAAACAGTGAAGTAGCGAAGAGAATTTCACAAAAGATCTATTTGTTCTCGTTGTGCAGGTAAAATAAAATCTCAGTTTCAATTTTCTTTAAAAATTATCAATTTTAAAATATGAAGATTTATAAAAAATGGGTAAATTCTAAATTGTATTCGTAAATATTGGCGCACTATTACATTATATACGGGCCTGTTATATTTCTCTTGGTGTAGGCCAGGGCGCAACCTGTAAGATAGATTGATAGACAGTGAAAAACCGGCTTCGGAGTCACGTGATTAAAAGAATTATTCCCTGCACCACTCCTTTAATCCCCCCCCCTTCACGGAGTAGGCTTTTCTAGTTTAAAGAGAATGTTCTTGTTTTTAAAATACAGACAGCAAACAAATTTTTTTTTTCATAAAACCATTTTCGAGAATTTTAAATTTTGTAATTTTTTAAAAATTATTAACTTCAAAAATATAATTTTCATTAAATATTTATTACTTCTACAGAGTACATTTTTTCAGTGTTTTTTGATATTTTACATAACACGTTTTAATTGTTTTAATGTTTTCCATAACAAGTTTTTTTATAGATGTGTTCTTTATTTTCCATAACAAGTTTATAACAGTTTCTTTTCTTAAATTTTCAATAAAAAGTTAGATTCATAGCAGTTTCTTATATTTTCAATAAGAAGTTAGATTCATAGCAGTTTCTAATATTTTCCATAACAAGTTTTAAAGATATTTCTAAGATTTTCAAGAACACTGTTATAACTGTTCCTTAAATTTTCAATAACAAATTTTTTATACAAGTTTTTTAATGTTTTCCATAACAAGTTTCTTTTCTTATATTTTGCCTAAAAAGTTTTTAAAGCAGTTTCTTATATTTTCCATGACAAGTTTTAAAGATATTTTTAAGATTTTCCATAACAACTTATTTTATACAAGTTTTTAATATTTTCCATGACAATATTTTTCTTATAGATATTTTCCAAAACAAGTTTTTATAGATGTTTCTAATAATTTCCATAAAATATATAGATATTTTTAATAATTTGTATAAAGTTTTTATAGATGTTTCTAATAATTTCCATTTTTAAAAATTATTAACTTCAAAAATATAATTTTCATTAAATATTTATTACTTCTACAGAGTACATTTTTTCAGTGTTTTTTGATATTTTACATAACACGTTTTAATTGTTTTAATGTTTTCCATAACAAGTTTTTTTTATAGATGTGTTCTTTATTTTCCATAACAAGTTTATAACAGTTTCTTTTCTTAAATTTTCAATAAAAAGTTAGATTCATAGCAGTTTCTTATATTTTCAATAAGAAGTTAGATTCATAGCAGTTTCTAATATTTTCCATAACAAGTTTTAAAGATATTTCTAAGATTTTCAAGAACACTGTTATAACTGTTCCTTAAATTTTCAATAACAAATTTTTTATACAAGTTTTTTAATGTTTTCCATAACAAGTTTCTTTTCTTATATTTTGCCTAAAAAGTTTTTAAAGCAGTTTCTTATATTTTCCATGACAAGTTTTAAAGATATTTTTAAGATTTTCCATAACAACTTATTTTATACAAGTTTTTAATATTTTCCATGACAATATTTTTCTTATAGATATTTTCCAAAACAAGTTTTTATAGATGTTTCTAATAATTTCCATAAAATATATAGATATTTTTAATAATTTGTATAAAGTTTTTATAGATGTTTCTAATAATTTCCATAAAATATATAGATATTTTTAATAATTTGTATAAAGTTTTTATAGATGTTTTTAATATATTCCATAAGAAGTTATATAGCAGTTTCTAATATATTCCATAATATGTTTTACAACAGTTTCTTATTTTCCATAATATATTTTTATTGCAGTTTCTAATGAATTCCATAATATTTTTTATAGCAGTTTCTTATATTTAACAATAATAAGTTTGTATAGAAGATTATTATATTTTTCCATAATATATTTTATAGCAGTTTCTAATATTTTCCATAACATGTTTTATAGTAGTTTCTTATAATTTCCTATAATGATATTTTAAGATTTTCCAGAACAAGTTTTTATACATGTTTATAATATTTTCCATACATCTATGATCTATGGATGGTCTTATAAAAAGTGTTTTTTATAGATGCTTCTGATATTTTCCATAACAAGTTTTTATATATGTTTCATAGCAGTTATATATTTTTAAAGCTTTTTGAAGTACAGTTTCAAAGGTTTTCCTTACACATTGTATAGTTTTTTTTTTATATTTTTCATAACACGTTTAAATGAAGTTTCTAATATTACCATAATGTATTTAAATTTTTTTTATATAAAAATTTCCATGGCAAGTTTTTATAGATGATTTTAATATTTTCCATAACACCTTTAATAGTAGTTTGTAATAGTTTCCAAAAGTTTATGAGATATTCTTTTTTTGTCAGTTTTGATTTTTTATACTTAATTTTTTGATTTTTGTACCACCATAAATATCAATTTAATAAAATTTTGGGTCTTAGTGACTTTTCCTATTTAGCTGTACAGAAATTTGTGCCATAAGGGGGGGGGGTCCCCATGGCCTCCGGCCCCCCGGTATACGCCCCTGACTTTAACAAATAATTAAATAAACTGAAAGGTTTTTAATTACTAATTCTGTTTAACATCATTCATTTTTTATTTGCCTTCAAATTGTTTATGTTAAATTAAGCCTATCCAGTATCTATCTATCTATCTAGCTATCTATAAAACTATCCAGTATCTATCTATCTATCTATCTATCTATAAAACTATCAATCAATCTACCTTTTTTTAATTAAGGTAAACAAAGGTATTGCTGACTTGTAATAAAAACAATTTGGCAAAAACAAAAGTGTTTTGCTGAATTATTGTTTAAAAACGTTGACGTTGGTTCATTATTAACTTGAGAAATATTCTGGGTTCTTTTTCTTCGTGGGGGGGGGCTAATCCAACAC